AGCCTTGGCCAACATGCCATGCCATGCCACGGCCTCGGCCTGCATGCCATGCCACATCGTTGCCCAGTATGCCAAGGCCGGAATTCCATGGCACGGTCTCGGCCCGCATGCCACGGCACTACGTCGACCAGCATGCCTTGCCACGGCGTTGCCCAGCTAGCCACGCCACTGCGTTGCCCAGCGTGCCATGCCATAGCCTTGGCCAACATGCCACGCCACGGCCTCGGCCTACATGCCATGCCACGGCCCCAGCCCACATGCCTTGCCACGTCGTTGCCCAGCATGCCATGCCACAGCGTTGCCTAGTGTGCCCTGCCTTAACCTTGGCCAACATGCCATGCCACGTCCTCGGCCAGCATGACATGCCACAGCGTTGCCCAGCATGCCAAGTCTGGAATGCCATGCCACGGCCTCGGCCCGCATGCCATGCAACGGCCTCGGCCCGCATGCCTTGCCATGGCGTTGCCCGGCATGCCATGCCACAGCGTTGCACTGCGTCCCATGCCTTACCCTTGGACAACATGCCATGTCACGGCCTCGGCTAGCATGGCATGCTACAGCGTTGCCCAACATACAAAGGTCAGAATACCATGCCACGGCCTCAGCCTGCATACAATGCCACGGCCCCGGACTGCATGCCATGCGACGGCCTCAGCCAGCATGCCACAGCGTTGCCCAGCGTGCCATGCCACGGACCCAGCCCGCATGCCATGCCACGGCCCCGGCCTGCATGCCTGGCCACGGCGTTGCCCAGCATGCCATGCCACAATGTGCCATGCCTTAGCCTTGGCTAATATGCCATGCCACATCCTCGGCCCGCATGCCACGCCACGACCTCGGCCCGCATGCCTTGCCACAGCGTTGCCCAGCATGCCATGCCACTAGCGTTGCTCTGCGTGCCACCCTAAGCCTTCCAACTTGCCATGCCACGGCCGTCGGCCGCATGGCATGCTACATGCGTTCCCAACTAGCAAGGCCAGAATGCCGATCACACGGCCTCAGCCCGCATGCAATGCAACGGCCCCGGACCGCATGCCATTCGCGGCCCGGCGGGTATGCATGGCGCGGCCCTGGCCGGCCGCATGCCATGACGCGTGCGCCCTCGGACACAACGCCAATGCGCGGGCCCCGGCCGGCATTCCAATGCGCCTCGCCGCATTGCCATGCTCACGGCTCCCCGTATGCTTGCCATGAGGTTTGCCCGGCATGCCATGACCAGCGGTTGCTCTGTCCGCCATGCCCTTAGCCTTGGCCAACATGACATGCGACGGCCCAGGCAAGCATGCCACAGAGTCGCCCAGCACGACCATGCACGCTTGGCCCGTATGCCATGCCACGACCGCAACCGCGGCCGCTGCCAATGCCACGCCACGGCGCATGGCATCCTGCCGGCGTTGCCACAGCTGCCACAGCGTTGCTCCCAGCGTGCATGCCACGGCCTCGGTCCGCCATCGCCATGCAACCGGCCTCGGGTCCGCATGCCTTGGCACGCGCGTTGCCCGAGAAGCATACCACAGTGTTGCTCGCGTGCCATGCCTTAGCCTTGCCAACAGCGTGCCACGGCCTCGGTCCCGATTGGCATGCTAAGGATACAGAAGTGTGCCCAACATAGCCAAGGCCGGATATGCGATAGCCATAGCCGGCCCGCATGGCCATGCATGGCCCCAGTATCGCATGCCATGCCACGGCCGCCGGCCCGTAGGCCCTATGGCAACAACGTTGCCTTGCATGCCAAGGCCGGAAATGTCGTGCCACATCTCGGCCCTGCTGACATGTCCCTCGACCTCGGCAGCATGCACAGCATGTGCCCAGGCGACATGCCACGGCTCTGCCCGCAATGCCTGCCACGGTCCCAACCGCCGCAATGCCTTGCCACGGCCCCGACTTTGCTGCCTTGCCACGCGTTGCCCAACATGCCATGCCACTGTTGCCCGCGGCCACCTAGCCCTCGTGGCAACATGCATGCACGCTCGGCCGCATTCATGATCCATGGCCGTGTCTGCAGTGCCATGCCGCTGCGGTTGCCCAGCTATGCCTCCACAGTGTTGCTTGCGTCATGCTTAATCCTTGGCCAACATGCCATGCTCGCGGCCTCTGGCCTGCATGCGTGCATAGCGTTGACCAACATCTAAGAGCCGGAACTGCCATGCCACGGCCTTGCCCCGCATGCCAAGCACGGCCTGGACCGCATGCCTTGCCACGGCGTTGCCTATCGTGCCATCTTAGCCTTGGACCAAAATGCGTGCCACGGCCTACGGGCCCGCATGCCATCCACCATTGCGTTGCCTTAGTATGCCAAGACGCAGGAAAAAATTGCATGGAAGCCACGGGCCTCGGCCAGCGATGCCATGCCACGGACCTCGCCCGCTATGCCTTGCCACGGGGTTCCCAGCATGCACAATGGCCACGGCGTCGGCCCGCATGTATGCGACGGGGTTGCCTCAGCATGCCATGCCAAAATTGCCCCTGCGTGCCATGCTTAGCCTTGGCACCAATGTCCACGCCACGCTCTCGTCCGCATGGCCATGCTACAGCGTGTGCCCAGCATGGCAAAGGCGAAACGCCATGGCACGGCCTTGGCCTGCCTGCCATGGCTCGACTCGCTAGCGAAGCCATGCTCACGGCTTCAGCCGTAGCCTGCCGACGGCGTTCGCACCCGAAGATGCAATGCACGGCCTCCGGCGCCGCATGCCTTGCCACGGCGTTGCCCTGCATGCCATGCATAACGTTGCCAGCGTGCCATGGCTGTAGGCTTGGCAACATGCCATGGCCCGGCTCGCCGCATCCATTGCCACAGCGTTGCTAAGGCATGACCAAGGCCGGAATGCCGAGCAAGCACCGGTTAGCGCGACTGCACGTAACAAGGCAACGTGCAAAACTTCGAGGCATACATTTCGCACAAGCTTCCACTTGGAAAGCACAGAGGCTCTTCGCAATCAAAGCAACAAAATGGCAATTACCCGAGGGACATGCTTTTCGCAAGGCACCTTCCACTGGGGAAGCACCGGCAACTAGCTTGTAGGCAAGTCAAAGCCAACCGGAGGCTACCAACCGAGGGACATAATTTTCCAAGGAGCTTCCACTAGGAGAGCGCAGGCAACTCGTAGGCAAGTCAAAGCCAACCGAAGGCAATTAACCGACGGACAAATGCTCTTTCGCAAGGACCTATAGACAGGGAACCTGTAAGGAATTCGCCAGCGGACTGATGAAGAGGAATGCACCAGTGGAGTTCGCTGCAAGGCAGGGATCCGTCCAACTCGCACAAACCGAACACAACTCACGCGCCACGACGTACACTACGTACCAGCGCCCGAAAGAATCGAACCCCAGGACTAAGAGCCGCGACGAACGGTATGAGAGTAGCAGCACGGTTAGCGGACATGCAAATAAAAGCGCAAAGGCAAATTTCGGGGGACATAACTTTCGCGACAAGCTTTCCACTGGAAAGCACAGGCAGCTCTTCTGAAGTCAAAGCCAACCAAATGGAAATTACCCGAGGGACATGCTTTTCGAGGCACTTCCCTAGGGAAGCGCAGCAACCTCGAAGGCGAGTCGATACAACG